GTTTCCTCGTCTGCAAGATGGGATGATAATTCTACAAACCTTACAGGTAGAACACATAAAAACAAATGGAGATCAATGAGGAAATAAAAGACCTGAACAACGTATAAACCAGTGAAACCTAATAGCACATCTAGAGAGCACTGCATCCAACAAGAGCAGAGTACATATTCTTCACAAATGGACGTGGAATATTCTCCAAGACAGACCATATATATGCTAGACCATAAAACAAGCCTCAATAAATTTAAAAGGACCGAAATCATACAAAGTATGTTTTCCTACTACAATGGAATGAAATTAGAAATAATAGAAATTTGGGAAGTCACAAATATGTGGAAATTGAACAACATACTCCTAAAATAACCAAGAGGTCAAAGAAGAAATTACAAGAAAAATTAGAACATACTTTGAGATGAATGAAAAAGGAAACACAACATACAAAAACTTATGGGATGCCAACTAAAGCAATGATTAAAGGGAAATTTATAGCTGTTAATGCCTGTATTAAAAAGGAAATTCTCAAATCAATAACATAATCTCCCACACCTTAAAACACTGAAAAAAGAAGAGTAAACTAAAGCTAAAGCAAGCAGACAGAGGGAAATAATGTTTAGAGTGGAAAATTAATGAAATAAAAAACAGAAAAGTAATAGAGGAAAATCAAGAAAACCAAAAGTTGGTTCTTTGAAAAGACCGATAAAATTAACAAACGTTTAGCGAGATTGACAAAGAAAAAGAAAGAGGACTCAAATTACTAAAATCAGGAATGAAAGAGGGGACATCACTACTGACTTCACAGCATAAAAAAGGATTATAAGGGATACAATGAACAAGAGTATGCCAAACAATTAGATAACTTAGATAAAATGGCCAAATTCCTAGAAAAGACACAAACTAGTGAAAATGACTCAAGAAGACATAGAAAATCTGAACAGCAAAAAGACTGAGTTAGTAGTTAAGAAACTTCTCAATAAGAAAAGCCTAGATGGCTTCATTGGTGAATTCTACCAAATATTTAAAGAATAATTAATACCAACTCTTCACAAACTCTTGCAAAAACCAGAGGAGGAGAGAATGTTTCCCAACTCTTTCTATGAGGCTAGTACTACCCTAATACTAAAATCAGACAAAGACATCACAAGAAAAGAAAACTAGAGACCAACATTTCTTATGAATACAGGCAAAAATCTTTAACAAAGTACTAGCAAACCAAATCCATCAACATATGAAAATGATTATACACTGTGACCAAGGGGGATTTAGCCTAGGAATAAGGTTAGTTTAATATCCCAACCAGAATAGAATAAAGGACAGAAGCAACCTGACCATCTCAATAGATGCAGAAAAAGCTTCTGACAAAATCTAACACTCTTTCATGATAAAAACACTCAGCAAACTAGGAATATAAGGGAACTTCCCCAAAATGATAAAGGGCATTTATGAAAAACCCACCACTAACATCATATTTCATGGGGAAAGACTGAATGCTTCCCCCCTAAGATCAGAAATAAGACAAGGGTGTCCATTCTCTTCACTTCTATTTAACATCATTTTAGAGGGTCTAGCCAGGGCTAGCAAGCAAGAAAAAAAAAAAAAAGGCATCCAGATTGGTTTCAAAGGAAGAAGTAAAATTATCTCTATTTGCAGATGACATGATCTTACATATAGATTATCCTAAGGTATCCACTAAAATAACTATTAGGATGAATAAACAAAGTCAGCAAGGTTGCAGAAACAAGATCAATATAACATTTGATTTATATTTTTATACACCAGCAATGAACAGTCAAAAATGAAATTAGAAAACAATTGCATTTACAATACCACCAAAAAGCATAAAACACTTAGGAATATTTAACAAAATAAATATAAAACTTGCATTCTGAAAACTATAAAACATAGTTCAAAGAAATCCATTCAGACCTAAATAAACAGAAAATATCTCATGTTCAAAGATTTAATATTGTTAAGATGACAATACCCCTAAATGGATGTACATTTTACAATTCCTATAATTATCCCAGTTGATCCTAAAATTCATATGGAAATACAGGCAATCCAGAATAATAGCCAAAGCAATCTTGAAAAAGACCTAAATTGGAGGATCCACAATCCCTGATTTCAAAACTTAGGAAAAAGCTACAGTAATCAATACAGTGTTACGTCTTAGGATAGATATATATATATATATATCAATGGAACAGAACTAAAAGCACAGAAATAAATCCTTACATTTATGGTCAACTGAATTTTGACAAGTATGGCCAGACAATTCAATGGGGAAAGAAAAGTCTTTTCAACAAACAGTGCAAAAGACTGAACTTAGACCCCCTTCCTTACACTATACACAAATATTAACTCAAAATGGATTACAGGCTTAAATGTAAGAATTAAAATTATGAAACTCATGAAATTCCACTTCATACCTGCTAGAATGGCTGTAATGAAAAAGACAGTAACAAGCGTTGACAAGGATGTAGAAAAACTGGAACCCTTACACACTGCTGGTGGGAATGTAAGTGGTGCAGCCGCTTTGGAAAACAGTGTGGCAGTTCCTCAAACGCTAACCATGGACTTACCACGTGACCCCAAAATTCCACTCCTAAGTACATATCCAAGAGAAATGAAAACTTCTATCTACACAAAAAGTTGTACAAGAATGTTCACAGCAGTGTTATTCATAATAGGCAAAAAGTGAAAACAACTCAAATGTTTTCAACTGATGAAGACATAAATAAAATGTGGTATATTCATACAATGGACTATTATTTGACAACAAAAAAGAAGGAAGCACTGATACACTCTACAACATGGATGAATCTTGAAAACATTATGCTAAGTGAAAGAAGCCAGTCATGAAAGACCACATATTACATGATTCCAGTTATATGAAACGTCCAGAATAGGCAAATCCAGAGACAGAAATTAGATTGTGTTTTCCTAGGCTAGAGGGTGAGAAGTTCTGGGAAGTGACTGCTAATAAGTATGGTGATAAAAACACCCTAAAATTGACTGTAGTGATGGTTGTATAACTCTGTGAAGACACTAAAACCCAATGAAACATACCTTTGAAATGGGTGAAATGTATGGCATATGAATTATATCTCATAGAGATAAAAAAAAAAAAATAAATGGAAAGTTCTTAGTCTAATGCCTGATGCACAGTGCACCACAGCTTTAGCTATGACTGTGTAAAATGCATCGTCAGAGACGTCACTGTAGAAAGCAGTAACTAGACCTTTTATAGGTGTGTCTAACGTGTCATAGTCAATCACAGATATTGTCTCAAAAAGGAAATTTTCCAAATCAGGGGTGATTGGGCCTAAGACCAGAGATGTCTCATGGAGGATCATAATCAATATGTGGTCAGAGCCAAAGCAACCACGAGGCGGGTTCTTCAAACCAATACACCCTATCACCGGGGGGCTCGGTAGGAGAAAGCAGGGAAACCGCCCAAGAAGGGAACAGGCAATACCTCTAGGACCAGATTTCGAGAGAGCAAATATGTAAGGGACAAAGGATTTTTTTTTTTTTTTTTGCAGGGAGTTGGGGTTGATGGAGCAGGTAAAACAAAACAAAATGGCAAACAGAAGACAAAATGATACTAACACGCTGATATGGTGGTAAAAAGCTAACATGTAAAACATCACATTAAAAAAAGGTGACAGTATTCACGTCCTTCTTTGTATCCAAAAACACTCCTAGGAGGAGATGAGGGGCGAAGAGGAGTGAAATTTATGTGGAAAAAAGGAAAAGTAAAACACTCCGTAAAAATTCTCTAAAATATTGATACCTTTCATAAAGTCATGCTATACCTTACTTCTTGGAGTTCAGACTAAGAAATCCACAGTCGTCAAATGACTGCAGCATTACTTAGAAATGCAAATAACAACAGATAACACTTCCTGAGTGCTTACCATGTGCCAGGAACTCTGTGTAAACTCATTATCTTCTAATCCTCGTCCTAGTCCAATGAAGTAGATACTATTAAAATTCTCATTTTAAATCTAAAATCCAGACATTTAGCACTATATCAGTGTGTTCCAAGAATGTACACCATCGGTGGTTCTAAAATGATTTTAGGTGGAATAAACTGGACCGCCATTTTAGTATTTACATACAATAAAATATTGATTTCACGATAACTACAGCAAGTTTTCTTTTGAAATAAATGTGTAAAAAAAAAAAAAAGTTACTCAACTTTTAAAAAAGAAAGCAGCATTTCTAATGCCTGAAAGAAAATATGGAGAAATAAAAATAGCCTTATTTTCTGAGGTGAAACTTTTATTCCCTTTAAAATGTTTTCCCAGAGTTCCAACGTTCCTAAAATGTTTGTGTAAAAAAAAAAAAAAATAAGCATTTAAAAAAAGTCTTTCTGTTCTAATCCCTTAAAACATATGTAATCATTCTAGAAAGTATATTTTCCATGGGTTTGTCTCATGAAATTTTAATATGCCTACCTTTGAGCTCTCTCCTACTTCTGAGCCTCAGGAAGTAAATTTCTGACATTAATTAGATTTTCTTTTTCTTCATTTTATCCTATCTTATCCTGAAGCTCCAGGACCAGCCCACTTAACTATTTATTCAAAGACCCCAGAAATTTTTCCATAAGGAAAAGACCTGTGGGGAATCTGGTAGGCATATGCAAATAGTTTTTAAAAGACAAGGCCATTCGTTGAGGGTTCCTCTGTATCTAGTAAGCTGCCCACCTCCAGCCCCCAAAGAAAGTCCAATTGCTAGAGGAGGAAGGATTCTGTGTTTCATCCAGTGATCCCCAAAGGGCCAAAGACCTAGCACAGGTACTTCTGTTTTCCACAGACATCTCTAATACACTGAAGATAGTATGCACAGGCAAACAAAACCATCTCTGGCTTTTCCATACAGTGAACAGGACTTGAGAACTCTTTATGCCTTTAGGCAAGTCCCCTGATGACTCAGAGGCCCCTTTACTTTCTTGACCTCCAGATGCCTGCCACTAGGCAAAGGCTGTCCTTACCCACCTGTGCATGTTCCCATTGGTGGTAAAAGACTGGCCACACACAGTACACTTGTAAGGCCTCTCGCCAGAGTGCACCAGCATGTGGCGGTCCAGGGAGCTGGCCGAGCTCAGCGACTTCCCGCAGATGCTGCACGAATGGTCTGCCCCTCCAGTGTCTGTGTTATGCTGCAGAAAGCAATTATCAGAGTGGTCACTTAAGAATATGGGTCAAAACTCAGCTATTCTGAAATGTGAATTCAGAGCTTTACAAAAAAAAAAAAAAAAAACCAGTAAAGCTTGTCAGCTATTTTTTTCTGTTTCATGTGATATCTTCTTGAATGTCAAAATCTATCAGGAACACAGGCAAATAAATATTTTGTACGATCTTTTTCCATTCCCATGTTCCAGTTTTGAAATATACCTCTCGTGCAAGGCTCAGAGAGAGGTGGAGTCTTTGCAGGTCTTTCCTGGAGACACATATAGATCCACTGACCACATTTATTAACATGAGCAGAAAGACTCTCAACTATGAAGCAAACATGTGAAATATGGTCCTCACATTAAGTCAACATCCATTCTTCAAGTCTGATGACTCAGTTCTGCTGTCAGAGAAAGAGAACTGAAACCTGCATAGTTTAGAGTTCTGGCCTCTGAAATGTGTTAAGGAGGAACATTCTATCCACACCCAAGTTACTAAATGATGTTACTATTACTCAGGACCATGTTATGATTTTAATATTGTCAATCCTTCTTTGTTCTAGGTTCATCAATACTTTGTCATGAATCAGCCATAGCAGGTGAGGGAGAAGGATAAATCTCATAATACAGGAGGAAAGCCAAAAGAGATCCCAAATCAGGTAAATTCCCTGTTGCATGACCAAGTTTATAGCAATATAAAGAAAAGGGGTCTATACAATCTCACTGTACTATAAGGAGATTTGGTTCATACTGAAAAGTTACGTATGAAGAAAAGTCTTCAGTTATATGTGGTCAGTTAACCAGATGTTTGCTAAATTCTGTAAAGGTATGCTGTGTTGACCTGGGACTTTGTCACAATAACATGGACACGCAAAACTTATTTCATAACCACCTGTCAAAATTATTACAATATTAAATCTAAATTAAACAGGGCCACAGGGGGCTAGAGACAGGGGGCTGGCCTGGTGGTATAGTGGTCAAGTTCACACGCTCTGCTTCAGTAGCCCAGGGTTCGTGGGTTCAGACCCCAGACACAGACCTACACACTGCTCATCAAGCCATGCTGTGGCAGCGTCCTACATACAAAATGGAGGAAGACTGGCAAGGATGTTAGCTGAGGGACAATATTCCTCACCAAAAACACAAAAACAAAAAACCCACAGCCACAATTCATTCATTAAGATCAAATCACCTTGCCCTCTCTTAATAAAGAATGATTTAAAACAAAAATATAAAAGCAGCAGCAAACCTGACGAATGTGCATAGTTAACTGATGCTGTGTAGTGCAAATCTTTTCACACAGGGGACAGTTATAGGAAGACTTCTCCTCTTTCGTTTCCTGAAAAGATACAATAAAAGGGAGGATCAATTTCAACTCATAGTAAACTCATGCCTCTTGTTTCTGTTATAAGCACCTGTGACTCAAGAGCTGTAGCCATTAAACAGCAGAGAGCATGGGCTCTGGAGCCTGTCTGGGTATGATCCTGGGCAAGTCACCATCTTGTCTGCCCACAGGTTCCTCGTTTGTAAGAAGGGAAAAATAATAGCTCCTACCACGTCACATGGCGATGAGGATTAAATCAATTAACAGGCATAGCACTAGAACAGTGCCTGGGTACAGGTAAGTGCTCAATAAGTATTAGTGTTCTGTTAGACAGACACCATTGAATTAATCATCAGTGATGGTGAAAAACTAAGCATCAAGTGACGGCAGAGTTAGAAAAGGAATCTATTTCTCTCTAAGTCCAACCCAGGCTCCAGTCACTATTTTCTACCTCGTCTTGAGACCTCCAAGAACACATGAGAGGTAATGAAGTTCTCATGACAAAAACCCACCCTCAGAATGATAGGAGACCTCACTGCCCAGCTGTGTGCCCAATGGGCCTCAACACGACCCTTTTACTTGCTGCTAGCACTTGCTTGACACCGCTCATAAATAATAAATAAAAATGCTGCCCCCGTTGAACTGTATGTGACAGGGAATGAAAACCCAAACTGAAGATTTCCACAGAGGGTGACAAAAGAACTAGATCACTACTTGGCGAGGTGGCTCACTTTGTGTTCCCTCAAAACACACAGGACAGGCTTCCTTCAAGCAATACATTCTACCATTTTAAGGAAAAGGACAAGGTCCTTCACTAACCATATGCTACAGCTCCTCTTTCCAAGTAAGTCATAGAGAGTTGCCATGGATGTGACCGCCATCACATCCTCACCCTCAGTCCCCAAGCACCACAGGTCTCCATCCTCACCCTCAAAACTAACAGGATCAAGGCTTAGACACCTTTCCCAGGAATTTGGAATTGAGGTGCTTAGAGACTAAGATCAGTAGAATCACCTGGGGAGCTTTCCGAAATACAGATTTCTAGAACGGACTCATGACATGCTGAATTAGAATCAGTGGGAGTGGGGGTAGTCAAAGGCAGAAATTGGTTTGTTTCCTAAGCTCCCCAGGAGATGCTAATATGTGCCCAGGTTTGGGGATGACTAAATTAGTAAGTCAGGTTATCATGAGCACTTGAATTGGAAGTTCATGTAGAGTTGGGGCTGGAACCAGCACTGGGGTCAGCTCAAGCCATGAGAATGCAGCTGGGGAAGACACTGGTGCTGGAAGCGGGAGACCAGGTAGCCTGAGAAAGACAAAGCCATCGTCTCTAGGGCTGGACACTTGGGTGTCTTTTCAATAGACTTCTTTTCACCTGCACTCATTTGAAAGAGTTTCTGTTCCTTGAAAATAATACCAATTATTGAGCACTTACTATGTGCTAAACGCTGTATGTACAGAAATGTAAATTTTTTCACAGCCACTATTGCAGAACCCATTTTCTAGATAAGGAAACTGGGGTAGAGAGAGGCTAGTAATCTGCCCCAAACCAGAGAGCTATTAGACCCAGGATTAAAAGGCAGGCCAGGTGCTCGACAGCCCATGCCCTAAACCACTATGCTATATAAGTCTGACCAAAAAAAGGATTAACCCCAAGGCACATAAAGGAAACACTCTTGTGGTTGGCTCATGAGAGATGATGAAAATAAAAGTCACCCTGAAGACTATAAAAACAAATGGCACCATAAACCAGACGGGTGGAGTGAATGCACGATGATGTCTGGTACGTAGCTGCCTGCACTGGTTCTCTCTCATTCCTCCTGAAAGACTAACCAGCCTCACTGTAAGCAATACAAACCCTTCTCTAGTCTGTGGCACTGGGTCTGAGAACTAGGTCTGCTACACATTTTCTTCACTGTCAAATTTTAAAAAATTACAGATCAGAACTCTAAGGAAGTTGACTAACCTAGAGACAGGTAAAAAAACCTCACCCAGTCATCCATACACTTCCACTCCACTCAGAGGTATACTGTGTGTGCGTTCGTGAGGGGAGTAGGGGTGTCAGACCTCAGCCCCATCCTACTACAATCAGAATGGAGCTGTCCCAAGAACCCCCCAAACCAGGAAAACCCAAAAACAAACGAAGTACCAACAAAATAAAGAGCACTCACTCTAATGATGAGGGATATCTCATAGCCCAGGCCAAAAACTCAGTCTCTAGGGGTATTTTTCTTAAATTATTAGATTAGTGATAATATATATTTAAAAAATTTTTTTTAAATAAAGGGTCACTGGTAGGCCCATAAATAAATGTTAAAAAGCCAGGCCTCCAAGTGGCCAGCCTCTTGAGGAGGCAATTTAAAAAAAAAAAAAAATCATCTTGCATTCACCTTGAGGTAGAACCCAGACATACTGGGAAGCTCTGGGGCTAATTGGTACCGCCTCTGGGGTTGATCATGAACTGGACCCCAAACACTCTCTGAGGCTGACAGTGACCCACTGCAGACCACAATACGGGTCCACAAAATCCATCATGGTCTGAGAGTTCCAAGAAAGTTTGTAGACTTACGTTTAATTTTTAAAAACAAACCAAACAGAAGAGAGAGCGCCATGATGCTGGAAGAGGCCCCAGTGGAGAATTGAGAATCCAGTTATTGCAGCCATGCTGGTGGAAGGAGCACATTTCCTGAGCTGACAGATAAAATTAGCAGCTAATGTGATAACTAACCCTTCCATAATGAAACAATTTGGCACCCTTGTCAGCGTCCAGCTGTGGCTAATCTGTCCTGGAAGTCAATGCTAGCATTGATGGGGCTTCTCCCCAGGGCCTCCTCTCTTGGTCCTCCCCATCCACTCACAGCTAAGATGCTGCACACTCTCCCCCAGGGTATTTTGGTTTCTTTTTCAATGCACTGTCATTCTCCTGGTACCCTGGCCCAGACTTCCCTTTCAAAAACTAAACCAGTGCGGTGAAGAACCCTGGAGGACACAGAAGGTAGACGAAAAATGGCCCAGGCACATCTGCACCGTTTGCTTCCCATACCTGGAGAGCAACTTCCACTTAAATGCAGAGATAAGGTACTGTGGGTCCCCTCCATGGATCTGCCTACTATCTCTGAACCACTGGGAAGGGACCAGAGCCTGGGCTTGGGCCAACTCTGCCTGTGCTGGGGCAATGCTGGGCTATTTAAGGAAGAGTTCGTCCCTACCCACTCCACTTTTTCCTAGTAGAACAGAGGAGAATGAGAGAGACAATGACCTCATCTATCTCATCATCCAGAAAATGTTTGACACCTGACACAGTACCTGGCTGAAAGTAGGAGCTGGGTATATATTATGAAATGGGTGGATGGATGGAGAGATGGACAGATAGATGGATGGATAGACAGTCATGTGAGAGTGGAAATAAACCTTTTCTATCCAGAGCTAGTGCTCCTTCTTGACCCAGGCCACAGTCATACAGGCTGAGTATTTTCTCAAGTACCCATAGGAAGAGAGGCACGTGGAGAAAAAGGAAAGAAGAGAAAAAGATATCAGTGCTCCAACCCTAAAACATCATTTAACTTTGTCAAGTCTTCAGCCTTGAGAAAGGTGTGGAGAAAACAGACTCTCTCTTATGCTACTGGAGGGGTGTTAGGCTGGCACAACTTTTCCTGGAGGGCAAGTTGTATCAAAAGCCTTAACTAATGTTCTCCTTCTAAGAATTTACAGAAAACCATCATAGATGTGCTCAGATAATTCTGTATAAGGATGGTCACTACAGGATTATTAATAAAAAAGAAAATTAACTCACAAAAACCCAACAGATTTACTTTCCTGCCCATCTCTGGTATCTAGACAAACTCACAAGACTGCCTTTTCCTGGAGGGTTTGGTATAATCACATTAAATCAGTTAAACCAAAACTAAACAAGGAGTATCAGTTCACATTATATGGATTCAGAGAAGAAATGAGAACTATTTGCCCCCTGCCTCATTCCTCCAGCTTTGTTGAACATGTTACTAATGGGATAGCAAGACCTTTCCAAGTGCCCCATTTGTAACTAATTAAAAGATTCATCTTATTTCCCAATGGAGGAGACGTGGACTTCTATAACATCATTAATCCTTTCAATCCTTGCCCACCCATTTTCTTTCCCACTTCTCTTGATCTGATGCCCACTAAAAACTCAAAGAGGACTAAATCTCATCTTAAGTGGAATTCTCTGGAGCCAAATTCTGTCCTTTGTCAAGGATGGAAGAAAGGCGCACAGCAGCTCCAGCACAACCAGAACTTATTTGCTACCTAACCTGAAGACACTTAAAAAAAAAAAAATCAAGGGGGTGGCTTTGAAAACCCAATCAACTGGCAGTGTGAATAAGGAAATGAACCAAGTAACAGAAGAGGAACATGTCAAGTTCTTTGCCTTGGCCATCCCATGAATGAAGAAAGTCTGCATTCAAATCAAGGTATGGGGCACGGAATAAGGGCGCTTTGACCAATAGTGACACCAGAGCACAGAAAATTTTCTCCATGAAAAGAAACTGACATAAGCTATGAGAAGTTCACTCTTGAAAAACGATTATGGCCTCTGGGTATGTCTGTTTAGATGTGAACAAATCCAAGGTTTTATCTTAGGAAGCTGGGGCTCGCTCAAGGGAACATCCTTCTCCCAACGGTCTCAGAGACTGAAACCATCAGACATCAACACCTAGCACACAAAAGCTTACCTGGTTCCTTCTGCCAATCCGATTTGGTCCTGGAGGCTTCGTGGGGGACTTGATGCTCTGGGGGCTCCCGCCATTCTCGGCAACCTTCCCTACACTCATTACTGCTGACATCATGGTGTTGACGGAAGACAAGTCTGAACCTTCCAAGCCAACGGGCGAACTTGACGTCATTGGGACAAGCGTTTAAGCTTCTAAGAAGCCTCTGCCATAGAACTGAAAATTGGAAATTGCCCATGTGATCACCAGAAAGTTTAGGCTTCTGTCAGAGCCAAGCGGCACTGGCCATGGCTGTCATAACTAACTGTAAGTCAGGTCAAAATGCCTAAAACCCTTCTTCCTCAGTTCCAGCTGACACTTGTGCCATAATGATTTAAGCTTTCATCTAAATGAAGTGTTGTCATACCAAAGACTAAACTTGCTGCCTTTCTGAGTGTATGCCACCGACACAACTCAGAAAGCCACCTGAGGCAGGTGTCTTTGTCTTTCCTAATCTTTCATTAGACAGAGAGTGGGAAAGGCTAAGCCAATAATCAGAAAGCCCAGGAGATGCCATGCGGCCAGAGCCCTTCTAATAACCTAACTCATTTACTTCTACGTGAATGTTCTAGACCTAACAACTGACGATGAGAATCTTCAGGTTTCACTTAACTTTACTGCTACAATACAGTGATTTTAATGGGAAGCCCAAATTGTATAAGACAATTGAGAAGCCAATCCTACCAGAATTATAACCAAATTTCAAATCAGCATAAAAAAGATGTTTCTTAAAAGATAAAAGTAGGTAATATACCTATACCCCAGAAAATGGACAGAAGAGAAACCAAGCCCCCACTGCCAATTACCTCCATTTTCTGCCCCAATTGATATACTATGAGATTTTCCCCTGCTATAGCTATCATCCACGTGGAGTAGGAAATGAGTCTGTTCACTTCTTTTTTTTCTTCTCTTAGTAAGTCTCGTTGACACTGGAAGGGAAGCAAAGGCAAAAAGATTCAGTGAATGTCTTTTCACTTAGTGAAGAAAAACTGAAACCATTTATTTGCCCTCATCTCAGACCACCGTATTCACGAGAATACAGGGAGCACAAATGAGAGGTGATTTCTAAGTCGTCTTCTTCTTCCAAAACCACATTCTGTGGTTGTTTTTCAACCTTAACTGATGTTCCCTACAGAGCTGTCACCCTCACTCCCAACAGCCAAAACGATTTTGTGGTATTTTACTTTCTGAAGCTCATATTTATACACATACACTGAATTTTCTTTAATACTCTACCCCAGTCCCTCACAAGGACTCCCAGACTCCCACTTGACCCACCTCCCACCTCTACCTAAAAGTGACCGAAGAAAAGGCGGTAAAGGAATTCACTAAAGGTTCATAGTCTAGAAGGTATTAGGTCAAACCTAAAAGGAACCTGCTAATATGAATAAAATGACTAAAGGAAAACTACAGCCATGGCCATGTCAAAATTTACTTCTGCCAGCCTTTTCTAGTTACAGTCCTTGCAAATGGAAGTACTATGGTTGTAAGTATGGCCAGAAATGAGTCTACAGGTAAACCTTTTCCCACATTTTATCTGGGAAGATATTCTACAGCTAAAGCGCTGCCAGTAAGCCACATACCCTGTTATCCCACAGCATGCATTAATAAATTCTACAAGTCTACAACGGCAGCCTCAACTACAGCTCATTATCTCAGCAGCAAAATGAATGCTCAGGGACAACACCAGAAAGAACATGATTCTGTGGTTTCTCCTTTCCACTTAGGGAACATGACCTAGGAGATGACACATGGTAGCAGCCAGAGCAGCTATAAATGTGTCCTGCAGCAGAGCAGGAAAAGGCCCTGGGGATATGACTTTATTAAATGAGCCTGCCATCAGCTGAGAATTCCCAAGCTAAAATCTTACCAAAAGAGCCAAAGAGAATCTCAGGAACAGTACTTTTCTTGTCAAGAGACAAACTGTGCCTTCCTTGTTAACAGACATTTTGAAGATAGGAACCTAATGGTTTTCCAGAGGGTAGTAAAAGGACTAACTACAGAAACATACAACTGAAGACAACTGAGCCAGCCTCACCCCTCACATCTTCCCCATAAAGAGACGACAGCTATGTCTAGAATTAAAGAAAACATCAGGGGCTGGCCCCGTGGCCAACTGGTTAAGTTCACATGCTTTGCTTCAGCGGCCCAGGGTTTCGCTGGTTCGGATCCTGGGCACGGACATGGCATCGCTTATCAGGCCATGCCGAGGTGGCATCCCACAAGCCACAACTAGAAGGACCCACAACTAAAAATATACAACTATGTACTGGGGGGCTTTGGGGAGAAAAAGGAAAAATAAAATCTTTAAAAAAAAAAAAAAAAAGAAAAAAAAAAATCAAACTGCTGACTTTCCACGAAGTTTCCTGAAGCTAGACGTCCATTTAAACTTATTAAAAACTGTGCTTCAACTTCCTGTTTTTAACTGTCTTTGAGAGTTTATTTGGGAGATTTCTCTCTAGGAAGAAACATGTGACCTAAGTATTAAGTATGCACACACGTAAGTGTGCACACATACACACGCCATTTTCTTGATGGATTTCTAACAAAAGTTTCATCAGTTCCCTAGAACTATTGTAATCAATCGGGATATAATTATTTGTTTGATTCAAATAAGTGGATACCTTCAATACCAAAATCATCTTATTCTTTTAAATGCATTTCCCCCATAGTTTTAATGTACAGCAAATGATAAAATAACTGACTAGAAATCTTCTTTATTGCAAATTATGTCAGTAAAAAGAAAGTTAGCCTTTCTACCGATTTATAAGTCAGAGTTAAGAAGATGAGCTTACTTTTGTCCTATTATTACATTTAGAAAAGAAAAAGGTGATAGAATTGACTTAAATCTGGGAACAGGTTAAACACCTTTAGGACCAAATGTAAAATTATGTCACAAAAAATAGATTCTATCATTGAATAGGGAAAGAAAATGGAGAGGAGAGAAACAGACAATACAAAAATTAACAAACATATATTCACTAAACAGAGCCAAATTGCCAGTTAAGAAATTTTATCACAGTCACTGTAACATCAAAGATACATTCTTGCAAACTACCTAAGTATCTTAAATGTACAATACCAGCAATTGTCATGATCGCTAATCAACATAAAGGCTGAAAACTGCAAGGGCCTATGCCAACTGGAAAAAGAGAAAAGTCATGGAAACTTGTTGTTTCCCATCTTGTCTGGACAGGAAGGCATTTGCTAAATTTATTTCCTGCTTTAGGATAAAGTGTAAAGTGTGACACTACCCACTGATGATGCCAAGATCACCTACATTTACTTCCTTTTCTTAGTTTAAGTGTAAGTAAACAGCAGTATTTTTTTAAGAGACTCTTCTCATCTCTGATCAGAAAGTGCAATTAACAAAATGAAATTTACAGCTACACGTTTCAAAAGAAGAACAGAGTCAACTGGACTCCTCCCTGAAAAGCTGTTTCAAAACCAACCCAAACCAGCCCCTTGGAGCTATTACAAGATTTTACTCCAGTCTGCTCTTGTGTCTTACTCTTGAGTTCTCTCTCTGGGATGATGGAGCAGAGAAGAAGGCAAAGAATCTAGTGTGAAACACAATGTAGCTCATTGTTTCATGTTAGAAAAAAAAAATCCACCTTAACATTAAGGTGCATCTGTGGGCTAATTTATCCAGAAGTCAATTGGCCAGTATTAGTCAAGTCTACCTAACCCATGCCTGACCCTGGACTGTACTGGGGCAATAACCCAACCATCTGATAATCCATCTCAGGGGGGGATGAAAGACAAGTTTAACAATTTAAGGTCCTTACAAAGCATATTTTTCTTTATGGATATTCATAGTCTTGGTATTTTCATTCTCTTCTTTGTTCCCTGACACTATCCTATTCAACAGCCCCACCATTGCAAATAATAATAATAATAATAATAATAATAATAAACAAAATAAAAACAAAAACCACTGGCCCTATTCTAATACAATCTCCAACTGGAACCAGAGAGGACTGGGAACCCTGATGAAGCTCTCAAAGTCACAGATATGAAAAGAAATGGTCGTCTTCATTGAATGGCCAAGTGGACTGGCCTAGTGTTTCAGGTTTTTTTGTGGGGGGAGATTAGCCCTGAGCTAACATCTGCTGCCAATTCTTCTCTTTTTGCTGAGGAAGACTGGCCCTGAGCTAACATCGTGCCCATCTTTCCTCTACTTTATATATGTGGGACGCCTGCCACAGCATAGCTTGCCAAGCGGTGCCATGTCCATACCCGGGATCTGAACTGGCAAACCCCGGGCCACTGAAGTGGAAGGTGCACACTTAACGGCTGCGCCACCAGGCCGGCCCCCATGGTGTTCCAGTTTTTACCAAACAGTCTGAATCTGGGGGTGGGAAGGGAGAAGCAGGCACTGGGGATGTCTTAAGCGTTGTTTCCTTGAGACAAACACTAAGCACTCCTTCCGAAATTTCTCATCCCACACCTCAGGCCCATTAGATCAGGAAGAACTAGCCATACACAGTTACAATTTCACTGTGGTTGTGCATCAAAGCCTCTGAAGGATCTGGAGAAGAAGGAGGGCAACTCAAAGAGAATGTGGTGAGGGAGAGGAGGGGCCAGGAAGACTCAACACTCAGTGCTATTGTGACTCAAGGAAAGTCAATCATGTTTAACTGACCTGTTTTCTTCGTCTTATCAAGCTGGCCCTCCTTACTGAGGAGCTGGCGCTGGCCAGGCCCAAACGTGGGCGGGGTCACACCTCAAAGCCACCACCTCTGGAGCAGAGTCGGAGCAACCTACAAAAATGAGAAAATGTGACATTAAGAGGGAGTCAAGACCAGAAATGATCCTGTCTCTCCATTTTCTCCACTTAACACCACTCGGAATCACAAATTAAGGACAAGAGAACATTTGCTATCCCCTGCCTGCACTTATAAGTAAGCTTCCAGTTCCTACATTGATTCTACCCAGAGTCAGCTGAGCAAGAGGGACTAGAGTCAGGTGTCCCTTAGACAGACAGGAATCCCCAAAACACGCTCCAACAACGTAGACGGCAACATCACCCATGAATGCTTGGATCACTGGCTCCAGGTGGAGCTTTGAGCATCTGAATGGCATGCTAATAGCAGAGGCTGACGGACGCCAGGATAAGGGGAAGAGAAGAACAAGACAGCAATAAGTGCTGTCAAAGACAGACAGGAAAAAAGAAGAGAGCCGAAGAAAGTAAAAAATATGGAACTAAACAGTCCCTCAACGTAAAGGAGATATTATTACATCTTTTCCTGAATGATGAGGGAGTGTCCATAACACAGCTCAAAAAGGACCAAAGCAAATCTTTTCCTTTCTAGAGGGAAGATTACAGAAAATTTCTCAAACTACATACGGCCTTCAAGAGTTTGAGAAAGTCTGCTCTGGGGTGCCAGAGGCCTCAAATCCTGACCTGGGAGAAAGCTGTGTTTGGCCCTCTACAAAGTCAGAAAAAACTGGAATGCAGCATTTCGCAGAGCTACAAGCCTCAGTCACATTCTCTCGGTCTCTGAAAACAGCATCCTGTAGCTAAACTGAAGAGTGCAAAACTGGGAGAAGACTAAAGAAGTGAAATAAACTGCCACGTGGACAAAACCTGTCAAGAAAGATTTGCATGGCGTTATTTTCTCATTTTTTATCCCCTTTCAGAGTGTCTGGAGGAAAGCTGCCCAATCATGTCACACACCCCGTTATCATCTTGAATCTTACTCACTTTGTCCACACACAGTTATTGAGCACTGAAGGCAGGCAAACCCCTGCTAGACCGGTCTGTTGGGGTGAGAAGGCCCCACCAACTCTTTCTATGAGAAGCAGCTCAACAATTTCTGACACTGTAAACAGTTTCTCACTCTTTATATCTCATTGGTTCAATTGCTCCATCATTTTTCTTTGCCCCTTTCTCTTTTGAAAAGTTCTTTGTATTTTGAATGAAGTATCAAGAAATAAGGAGAAACTCATAGAAACAGTGATCTCTTAAGCCTAGAGGAACCCTTATTACAACCCAGAAATTCTCAGTGTTTCTTGGTGGCAAGACCCTCCTTGAGGATCTGATGAAAATTATGGACCTTCCCATAGAGAAATGCACAGAACTCTACATCCAGCATTTTCCTTCAGCATCAAGAGGGTCAGGGACCCCAGAAGTTCATCCCAGGATAAGTAGGATAAAAATACTGGTTTTACTTGATATGGAAGCCACCTTCCTTTTAAACTATGAATCTAGTCAATTTTATTTAAAATTCCTATGAGGTTTCAGAAATACACAGACAAAACATCCTTTGAGATTCTCCCCCTTCATCCATACTTAAAAGATGCCTAAGGTGAAACTAAACACTGAAAAAAAAAAAAAAAAAAAAAGCAAAGTTTCCCTCTGTTATTATTTATTTTTTATTTAATGGCAAATTTTATTAGGAAGCCTGGAGAGAAAGAGCTCCATAGTTTTTTTTTTCTAGAAACTGCCAAGATCTCCGAATAAGTAAAGTTAACTACAGTTCTATACACAGTTAATAAAAACACATCAGAGAGACAAGTCTCTGGAATTAAAATTTTTTCAGAATCTTACCAAGAATCTTATTAAAATTTGGACTCGCTCCTTCCCATCATTTAGAAAAGATACTGTGAGAAGTCCATCAAGTAATCTCCTCAATATACACAGGGAACCAAGGGGAAGAGAGGGCCAACCTGACAGACATGACCCTGAAGCTTCCATCCTCTGATCTTGGCTGTAAATGATTTGGATATTGAGAATATCTTGCAATGAAGCTGAGTAACAAGAGCCACTACCCTGCTTGTGTTGGTTCCACCAGGTCCGAAGGATTCACAGAACTCAGAGAGTAGAAAATACAGGACAGTTCCTGGAAGAAAATTCAAGATACCCCTTACTTCTATCACCACTGCCTCAGAAAAAGAAAGAAAGAAAGAAAAGACCAGTGAGGAGAGGCTGTGTCCTAGAATATGACTCCTGTAGGGGAAATGTGACAGAACATAGGCTGGGAAGTTGGAGGGGTGGGTCTCGGGGCTCACTGAGGGAAGATGCTGCATTTCTGCATTTGCATTCCCACACAAGCTCTGCCCAGATCCAGTGGAAGCAGGCTAACTTGAAGAGGGCAGAGGTCCATCACTGAGGATGAGGGGGAGGGGAAGATCAGCCCCCAGCCTTTGAGGAGATAAGCGACAATGCTATGCAAAGCCAGAAAGAAAAGATTAAGGAGCCCATCTCCAGGTCCAACAAGATAGCAAAGAAGAGATGAAAGATAAGAGGTAAGATGGTCTAGAAACAAAGCTTTCCAGCTTCTGAAAACGTGGAGGATTTGGAATGAAATCTAAAATCTGTCCTAAGGCCCCCAGGAAGGATGGGGTAAGTTTTGATGCATGGGATGACAGTAGATGCCCCCAGACAATGTTACAGTGAGCTTTACAACACTGAATCCAGGATAGGATAGGCACAGTGCAGAGCCTACACAGATGTCTGCTAATACTTGGGATGCTGGATCCACTGACTGGAACAGCCTAACTGGCTAGTTCTGGCCCAACCCAAAACAGGCTAAAATAGTCTGAGTTAAGAGGAGTTCAGATACTAAAATGCTCTGAATTACCACAAAGCTTAACAAGCAGCAAGGAAGCAAGGACATCTCTGAAGGACAGCCTGAGGCAGAGAGGAACTATTCTTCCTCAGTCTTGGCTATGCCAGAGACAAAACCAAACCAGACTAGTGTCCCACCCGAGCAATGGCTGCTCTCCCCTGCCTGCAAAGCTCAGGGCAAAACCATCTCAATACCCAGGACAACCTCGCTAGTGCTCTGAAGGCTAAGACAGCTGTGATGACAGCTCTGAGTTCCAGGAAGTTGATGTGTTTCTCGGCTTAGGGTTCACTCTATGCCTTGGATAGGGCGGCAACCCGTGCAAGTCACCCTCCCTGCTCACTGGCACGGACCTTGGTCAACTGGAGAGAGCCTTGGAGTGTCACGTAGAGCATTCGAGCAGGCCTGGCACAATCAGGCACCATGAACTGCTCCAGCCAGTTCTGGATCTTCCCCCTTGGGTGAGGTGGGACCACTAAGCAGAGAGGGATGCACCCCTTGGCACAGACCACGTTCAAGACAGCAAGGTGCGGAGGGGACCCAAGACCACGTATGTGGGCCTCCCTGACTTGGGTTGTCTTCTGATTTCCACCTCAATACTACAGGAAGTGTTCAGACTTTTTAAATTGCTATTCAAAGCCCTCCATGCTCTGGCCTCAGTTTACCTTCTGGCCATCTTGCCCACCAGTCCCCACAGCTACCTCTCTGTTCAATTATTTCCCCTAGAACATCCACCTGGACTCCTCTCCCCATTCCATCCCTCAGGGGCCACTTTCCACATGCAGGTTTCCTGATTCCCACTCACCCAAGGCTCTTTGTTTCAAACTCTATCTCTGTAGTAGTAGTATTAGTAATAATAATAATAGTATTAATAGTAATAATAATGTTTTTGAACACTCCGTGCCACATACTAAGTGTATTATCTCATTTAATCCTCTATGAGGATCAGTCCCACTGTACAGATGAGAAAACTAAGAGTAGGGGTTATGTAACTTGCCCCCAAGATCAGGGTGGTAGAGCAAAGTGAATCCAGTTTTTAACCTCTGTTAAGTTTCTTTTGGACAAAATTTGCAACTCCTGGCACAGGGCTTGAGAGAATAGATGCACTCCCTCCGTCATGTTCTCTGACTTCTAACAATCATACTGAGTCACTTCTGCCCCGACAGATGGCTCAGCGCCTGGCCTCCCATGTCCGCCTGTTTCTAGGCAGGAAAAAGGAGCTCTCTCCTCCCACCTTTACCTCTGCCTTCCTCTCTCTGGCAGGAGGCTTGATTGGACTTCCACCTCAAACTAGAAAGTTCACTGCACAGGGCAAGAGTTTGCAACCACTCACTGCCCTTGTTGTATAAAGCAATGGGGAACGCCACGTCCTACACTCTTGTGTTCTAAAAGTAGCCAGCAAGCAGACTGGAGGGAAGCCACTCAGCTCTGCCTGAAATCCCAAACAGCCCAGTCCTGTCGGAATGGCTGGCTCAAACTGACCCACCGATGTAAACTCAAGCTCAGAAGTGACCTGTGTCCTCTGGGTCACTTCTGCTTCCATGGAAATTGAATGCAGACCTGGAGCAAGAGGAAGCTCTAGACAAGGGGGCCCACACTCTCAGGTCCTGAGTTCCAACAAGGTGTGTGTGTAGTAATGGGGGGGAGTGGGGGTAAGAGACAGACAGCATAGAGGGTGGGGAGTGAGTAGCCAGAACTGCACAGATCAAGAATTAAGCAAACACCATGCAAAGGAAATCTTACAGTCTAATCTAGTCAGCGAGAAGTTAACTACTACTGACCCTCCAAAACAGCCACCCCAAAGAGCAGTCCCTGTCCAGCAGCATCATGGACCTTTGTGAGAACTGCAGATTCTCAATATACATAAGTCACTACGTTGTACACCTTAAACTTACACAGTACTCTATGTCAATTATATCTCAATAAAACTGAAAGAAAAAAGAAATTCATATTCTCAGGCCCCACCCCAGAATTACAGCATCAGAAACTCCTCCGGGTGTGGGCCCTGCAGTCTTGCTAGCTCCCAGGGGATTCTGATTCAGCCTTGAGAACCAGAACTTGTCTTTATACAGGATTCTGAAAGAAGGGTGACACAAAACCAAGGATCTCCCTGAAAAACTTTCCTTCCATGAAGATTTGGAAGGAGCCACTGGTTTATCACACCCCCAGAGCAAAAATCCAGGTGCTAGAGC